AGTATAAAAATTAAAGGAAAGTAATAGAAAAAGAATAATTTAAAAATAAAGTAAATGAATTGCACTCGCCATATTCAATTCCCAATAACATCCATATGTATTGCTCCTCACTAATGTTAATGCTAAAGGAAACTTTGCATTGATTGCCAATATGAACACGGAGTTGATATTAAATACACAATTCCGACTCATAGATTTCAAGATCTGGTTATAAAGTAATTATAAGATTCTAAGATTGATCAAACTTTTGAATTCACTGAATAAAGAAAGAATTTTTTAATGATTCTCTCTCAAACTGAAAGCATGCTGAAGAATACATGGCAACATTTATAGGAATCGATCAAATAAATATATGATACAATTGAGATGCAGGATAAATCATATTTGAAAATCATGAACAAAGATTTCAATCCTACGGATTTTTCAAATACTGACTTAGAGAAATTAGTGTAAATTGTATAAGGAAAAATTTAAAATGAATGGAAAGTTTAGAAGGATTTTTATTTGTAAAAATTATTAAAGGTAAAGGATTGGTGGGAGAAAGAAATTAAGGCTGTTAATGAAAAGTTGATGAAAGAAATGGACTAAAATTTGTCATTAAATTTTAACTTAAAATAATAGCAAAATGAATAGAAATCTCAATCATAAGTCAATCTTAAACCATTTAGTTATGAGATAATTTAAGCTAATTCTATTAAATAATAAGAATATTGTATGGCAGTTGCTATTAATAAAGATTGTTCAATTGTAGCGGCTAGTTGTTATTAACTAATTAAAATATATGACTTCAACTAAGGAATGATGAAATAAAATCAAGTTTTAAATTAACATTAAAGCGATGTGGCTACTTTAAATTTTATGAAATAATCAAATTAATTGATTTCTGGAGATAATGGATCTATTTTGATTTGGACATATAATAATGATAATTCATGGATTTGTTCATAAAATATTAAAGGTCATAGTGATTGGATTAGATGCATAATTTTGGATAATAATGAAGATCTTTTTATATCTAGTAGTGATGATAAAACTATTAAGTTTTGGGTTAAAAAGAATGAATGGATCTGTCAATAAACAATTTAAGATCATAGTAGTTGTGTCTAATAATTAAGTTTAAATGAATAACAAAATCAAGTTATATCTTGTGGAGAAGATAGTTTGATATTAATAATAGAGTAATCATAACCTAATAAAAATTGGATTGTAAAATAAAAAATACAAGTTGATTGTTGTGGATTAAGATTATGTTTTATCAATAATAATCTATTCACATTTCAACCTGCATATGGGAATATGATGTATGTTTATGAGATGAATAGTGTAAGTAAATAGTTCATTAAATCAAAAGATATTACTATAAATCAAGGAAATGAAGTTGGTTGGCTATTTCCATAATAATTTATTAAAAAAAGATAATTACTTGTGAATAAGCATGATAAATATGTAAATTTAATAAGATTTACAGAAAATTCTTAATTTAAAGTTGAGTAATCTATTCAATTTGAGAAAAATCATATATTTGGATAATTAAGTGATGATGGAGAATATTTGATTACTTGGGATGAGACATCAAAGGAAATATAAATAAGAAGATTTAAACAATAATGAGACAATTATTATATTACATATAAATCTAAAAGTTAATATTATCTTATTTATTATGTTTTATCTGAATTTCTCTCTTGCTAAGATTATTATTATAACTCTTAAAACCAATTCATTTCAACAATAAATATTCTCAGAATAAAAGATATTTACTTAAGCAAAAAAATTGCTTTGAAAGAAGTATTACTAAAATAATGCCTATATGTTCATTAAATTTCTCAATTTGTTTTATTTTTTATTTATATAAATAAGAGATTTATATATAAATTATTTATTATTTTATATTCCTATCTAATTTGTTAGATTTCTTAATTTAGCTTGAACTTAATTAATTCTTAAAAATTAATTGGTTCAGCACCTCTATATATAATTTTATCATTTGTAGGAATTCAAAAAAGCAATTTTTGCATTATCATTAAGTTTACATCTCTATTTCTGTCTTCTATATAATATAAACTATTGGAGTAAAAAAAGTTATCTATTATTAAATATTCATCAATAAGTACAATAATCTTAACCAATTTTTATCTGTTTATACGCCTAATACATCCAATACCATTCTGAGGCTTTGTTTCATAAATAGTGTGATTTTACGATTTAAATGTAAAAAATATCCATAATAATTAAAAAATAACTCTGTATTTTAAAGGTTATTTTAAAAAAGCTTTTTCGATTTTATGACTTCATTAGTAGCTTAATTTTTTTTTAATAAAACCACAATCTCTATTGATGAACATCTTCTAAGATGTCATTAAATTGGATGAACTGATTTGATCAGAGAGTAGCTTAGCATTTTACTAGGATTGGAACCTGAAAGCCCTTATCACATAACTGAAAGATGTAAGAGATAGTTCCTTCGTTTAACCCTGAATATGATGTCCTTTTAAGTTTAAGTCAACAATAATTTAGAGGTCTACAACTTTCTAAAGTGTCAAAATCTATGGATAAAATGTGGCTGGGCGATCAAATGATCAGGACCTTTGATTATTCAATTATGTGGGGATAAATATTAATGTTGTATTCTAGAATAGAATCCTTGTATATATTTCCGCAATCTTAAATAATTGAGATGGAATAAGTTACTTTTATATAGACCCAAAGAGAATATGTATCAAATATCTGATATTTACAGAAATCAACTTATATTCAACTTTTGGATAAATCAATAATAGAAAGCGTATAATTAGGTTCTTCTGAAGAATTAATTATTTTTTATTTGATATCCATTTATTCAAACATTTTAACCTGACTACTCACTAATTTTATTTTTTCAATCTTAGGATGTCATTTTATTATATTATCTATGATTTTAACGAAATTTTGAGCAAAATTTAACCATTAGAAATATTTAAAAAATTTATTCATATCATTTAATATTATAATATGATTAAAATATTATTATAACTCTAAGTAATCAATATAAAATAGATGAACATTCTGATATTTGTTACATAATCTTTTTCATATGTATTAATTCCAGTTTATACTTACCTATGTTTCCAGATCTTTGAACCTTTAATAATCATATTTATTAGGATTATATTACAAGGATTATTATAAGTGATATTCTTTTCTTTTTATCAAATACCCCATTAATTTTATATCATCCTAAGCTTTTTATGATTGTATTCACTCATCTTCCCATTTTATTTTTATAAGAATGAATTCTTTAAATAAGCATTG